CTTGCAATCCCACAGTCTTTATATGTACCTGGATTGACTCAAACGTACTTGGACAAAACAAGGACCCTATCCTACGTTTTAGATGCAGCTCCTAAGGTAACAGTTTTTTATTTCCGAAAATCGGATCTTTGAATTTATTACGTTTCTAATCTATGTAGAACTGGCTAGAAAAAATTATAGCCTTGAGTCACGTAGAGTAATTTTTCAATTTTCAGATTGTTGTTGCAACCACAATACTGTGAAAAAGGCATCTATAAAGGGTAGACTGATCTATGGAAACAGACTACTGTGGAAACTGGAGGGTATAAGGGGACTTATATTCAGAGGTTGCCCAACAACTTATATCCGTGGTAATAGGATGAATGTCAGTTAACATTCCACCATGGTCCAGGGAACGACTTTGAACCCGTTTTAAATTAAAAATGTGAAGGACGTTAGATGATTCCAAAATTGGGGTTTGAAGGTTAGTTCTGAAAGGACTGTGTTAACGCACACTGGACAAGGCGGTATTCACCAGTATACTGCGCTTACAATGCAGTAGCTACCAAAGGTTTCAGTGTGCTATGGTCATTTCGTCGATCATTCGAATGCTGTGATGAAAATATGTTCTGGATTTTATAGTTCACCTATGTTAGACCTCACTTAGAATATTGCATCCAAGCAGCTAATTCACATCTTATTCATGATGTTATTACACTCGAACATGTCCAACAGGTGGAAACTAAGTTAGTCACGGGTGCTTACAAACTCTCTTAAGATGAACGATTAAAAGGCTTTATCTCATCTCCTTTATTATATAATGCAAGGTGGCCTTACATCTGTGTGCTAATGTGGTATGGCAACTCGAACTGATGTACGTACGTACGAAGTTCTACGTTGTTACTGGCTGACTGACCTTATATCGGCATTCCGTATCTTAAATAATGATTTGGGTGTCAACATGTCTTTTTTTGCTTCCTGCAGAACTAATAATCTCTGAGGATACTGCAGGAAGGTTCAAAAACCACTATCAAGTAAACTCAGAGCAGGATTCAGTCTTTCATACTGAGTAGGCACTAAATGGAATGCCCCTGTTGGAAGAATGATGTTGGTTGCGCTGGTAACACGAAAACTGACAGTGAAGAATGTGTCAGTGTAGTACATGCTGTCACAGGATGTGCTAAACACCTAACTGTGATTGAAAGAAAGTAGAATGTACGTTGAAACGAACGAGGAGTGAAGTGCCACTTCATGACGATATGGGAAGTCATGCTTTTAAAGTAGGAACTGAAGACTTAGATAAAACCATCACCGTTATCAATAGCCCCAGTGTGGCTGTCCTAAGTGACGAAAAATGAATGACAGTATGGAAAAAAAAGCGAAAGAAAAAATCTATAAGTGGCACGCACTTAGTTGGTGAGTTATTCGTGAACTCCCATTCTGAGTCACAAAATACTCTACCAAAGTCTGAAAGTAAGACAGAACTCCACCCTAGCATGGCTGGGGAAAACTTAATCTCATCGAGTATTATCGTAAGTAATTTGCTAGAATCAAACGACGCTGATCTCAAAATTAGATACGCTCATGATTTGAAAAAGCTTGGAGAATTTATCCGTAGCATCTTTTCAGATAGCTCTAAAGGAGTTCAGGTCAAGAAATTGGTAATAATAGGTAAGAGGATCGATGAAAGTGTTGAACCCCAACCATGTAGACTCCCTAAGGTAATCCTAGGGTCGGAAAAGCAGCGCGATCTTCTGTTAATTAGCGGCCGTATTCACTACAATACCGACATTCGGATAAGACCTGATATATCTCTAAAAAGTAGAATAAAAAGACGGCACTAGCTGAACTAGAAACCCGTTGACAAAATGGTGAGGAAAATCTCTGTTTAGTGGGTTTTCGAATAGTCAGGTCTTCGAAGTGTATGCTACAAAGGCCTGTGAGGATAAGTCGTTTCCCTACGAGTTTTATATGCAGATGCTCGTAGTCTAAGAAATAGATTCTATGAACTAGGAGCATAAGTAGACGAATAAAGGCGTAAACTTGGTTGGTCTACGACTTCAACATTACTCCAGAATTATCTGGATACCACTATCTAAGAAGTGATAGGCACAGATGTAGAAAAGGAGGTGGCGTCCTTTTATAGATAGTCAATAATATAAATATCCGCTTCTACGCTTGCGAACCCCATGACAGTGGAACTTGTGAATTCATTAGCTGTGAGCTCATTATCGGATATTGTACATTTATACTCCGTGTCATCTATCGCAGCAGAGTCTGTTTAGCCGATGACTTTATTTTAGAGCACATTTAGCTATGGAGTTAAAATAACAAATGCTTGATAATAAGAGGCTTTAATGAACCTGATATTAGTTGAACTGAGACGGCTAAAATAGGATCTATAGAATCCTTTATAGTATGTTCTTGTCAACGGTAATAGAGCATGCATTAGTACAGAGTGTATCCAAACCCACACGTTTTGGTTCAAACCAAGGTTCTTCTTCGTCAGACTTGGTAATCACTCATGCGACTGAGGATATTGCCAATCTAAGTATTCTTCCACCGTTAGTGAATAGCGATCACGTTGTTTTGTCATTCACGTTTAGGGCCAGAGACATGATATACGATCAGGTTAATCCTCACCCAAATGTATGGAGAGCTAAAATATTCACCATTCAAGAGTGAGCTGCGGATCGGTCAGTAGATACTGGCTCACCAGTTGAAGAAGCATGGTATTTATTCAAAGGCAAGCTTATTTCACTTACGTCCTCGTTTATACCATCCCTAGTACCACGTAGACCGAATACCTGTCCACCATAGATAACTAAACAAACCAAGACACTTCTTTGATGTAGGAAAAAGCATAGGAATGCATTCATCTCTACTGACTTGGAACAGTATAGATTCAGTTATTGCAAGACCAGAAATGTTTGTAAAGCGTTGATAAGTAAGACTCGGCATTCGTATGAAAAACAATTGGTTAGGGATTGTAAAAACAATGCGAAGCAATTATTCTCGTAGATAAAAAGGCAAACTCAGAGAAGTGATGGAATCCCATTACTTTTGGTAGAAGAAAATCCCTTAATATTGGCGAGATGATGCCGAAAAAGCTAGAGCTTTAAAGTGTTTTCTATCAGCAATGAGGAACGACCAACGATCGACTGTGATTGTGGCGGCTTGATGATGAGTCTTTTAGTTATTAAGAAAGGTACTGTCTTAAGACTACTTCAGCGTCTCAAACCTGATAATTCCAGTGGTCCTGACGATATCTATCTGAGGATTATGAAAGCTCTGAAGACTGTAATTGCTGAACCTCTGGCAATACTGTTTGATATATCTTTGAGGCATTCCAAACTGCCAAGAGACTAGGAAGATACAATAATCTGTCCAGCGTATAAGGCGTGGAGCAGAAACTTAGTTAGTAACTATCAATCCGTTAGTCTAACCAGTCTATTTGTCAAATCAATGGAAAATATTCTCTGGATGATCATTTTAAACTATGTGGAGGGACATGATCTTCTATCCAGGTAACAAAACGGTTTTAGGAGATGCCTTCCATAGTTGACAAGTTTGCTCATTAAAAGAGAAGATTGAGCTGCAGCAAAAGGTAGTAATGTTCTAGTAAATGTAATCCCATGGATCTAAGTAAAGCCTTTAACAAAGTCTCTCATCTAGGTCTTAAATCAAAACTACGATTTGAGATCCTTATGAAATCATAAACTGAATAAATAACTTTCTTAGTGATAGGAGACAAAGGGTAAGGGCAAGTAGAGCTCTCTCAACATGTGAAGAGTGGAGCTGTCCAAGGTAAAAAAAATTTCGGCCCTCTTAATTTTTTACCTTATATAAATGTCATACCAATTGTATCAAAGCAATCTGTTCTACTCTTTGCCGATGACATAAAGATTTAGAGACCCACAAACAGTATGTCAGAAAGAATATTACGAGACGACCTAAGTTCGTTGGTTGCATGAATGAACAGGTGGTCATTAGAAGTGAATTCTAACAAGAGTCTAGTGATGCAAATAAATAATTGTGATGATTTATATCACTACAAAATATGAGTAGTGTTAACTAAAGTAGTAGACTTTAAGATTTAGGAGTCATAATAAGCCACGACCTTAGAATGAAGAGTAACAGCCTCAGGATTTTAAGGGCTATTCATAAGTTATTTCATTACTTAGACGAAAAAACGTTTAGGGTATTATATCCGACTTTCATGAGGCTGAATTCAGAATATGGAAATCAAGTAGCGAGTCCGTGTTTCAAGTATGAGGCGCATATGCTGGAAAGAGTCAAACGACGAGGGACTAAAATGGTAAAAGGCCAATCTGGTCTATTTTATGAAGACAGAGTAAGACACCTCAACTTATTTCCGTTATCTTACCACATAATATGAGGTAATCTAGTATTGGCTTGTCATATACTAAACGATTACATTATTATAAATGTCTTATCTTTTTCTTGCGTTTAGGATTAATCATTTGAGAGGACATTCTATGAAAGTTCAAAAACAGAGATCAAATCATCTACGTTTGGAGTTTCGTTTCTGGCACCGAGTGGCGAATTACTGGAATTCTTTACCAGAACGCGTAATATCAGCAGCTTTTGTTGATACATTCAAAAAGAGTTTGGACCTACACAGTGTTACAAACTGCAAGAATTAATATAGATCTCCAATACTTGACGCTGGAGAACGGGTAAGGAACTAAATTTTCAAGAACTAAAATTAACCTGGAGATGAAACATTTAACGAGTCGACAGTATCTGAGTGCTGTATGCAACCAGCAAGTTTCTCTTTAGAAAAGTTGGTAAACACTGCGGTTCACTGCATTTCCACTCTAAGGAACTTCCAAAAAAATTAAACGGTGATAACCTTCAGAGTTTTTATTTCCTGTGCGATGTCAAACACACAAAAGTAAAACTATTCTCAAAAATATGCAGAGAATGAAACAATAAAAAAATGCTAAATAACGTTTGCTGATACCGACTACAGTTTAGAACGCAACAAATAAACTTACTTTAGTATATGGACTTGTGAAACATGCTGCTGAATATGTAAGTAACAGTAGGGCATTTGCTACGATCTCCAAATAAACCATTTTAGCGATAATGCATAACAGATCATAAGCCTTGAAAAACCAAAGCAGCAAACATCAGAAATACAGTAGTTAGTTGTGTTAAACAAATATTTTGAATTAATATTTCAGCTTTCGGGATCTAAAACCGAGCTGTCAAATTAATTAAAAGTGATTTCGAAGTCCGTAAAACAACACCGAATTCTGGCTAACTTATCAGTTAAGCTGAGTCTACACTCTCCCCGAGAAACGAATAGCTGGACGTTGTATGTTTGATATTCTCCTGTAATTCTCTTTTCCCAAATACACCAGTGAAATGTTTCACAAGTGAAATGCACCTGGAGAAACAGCTCCTCAGAATGAAACACGAGTGAGCTCACAAGAATATCCGTGCGAACTATTCTATAATTCCGACCAGTGTGTTAGTGAACTTTCTACCGAAAGCCATAGTGCTAACACTTTCTACTGATTTTCTTATTTCTGTTGGTATGAAAAAGGATAACTTTAGATGTTACTTCTGTTATCAACCAACTTGTTCTGCAACTGCATTTCTAGCACCATGCCAATAATTAGATGGCTTTGTAATCTGTAACAACTACTACTCAAATGAAGTTCATGAAGAACAAATTAAACGTCACTTCTATCCAGTGGAGTTGAAATAGATTTTAGCATACTTCGAAAACATTCATTCTCAAGGCGCTTATGAAGGTTACGATACGACTCAAATAGAAGATTCATAGAAACATACCAAGTGACTGATAAAAATGCTTCATTGACGAAATGTTTGTACTTTGAGTTTCTTTTGGTAAACAAGACATCCAAGCTAACCTAAAAATTTCTACGTTTTGCTTTTGAAAATGCCACAGGTATTCGGAGCTTGACATCGCTTTAACCAGTAACATATAATATGAATCGTACCACCAAGTGAAATCAAAACACAGAGGCGAGGCTGTTCGAAGATATATTTGATAGGCTATCAATTTATCGAGGATCGTTTGATTTAATCTGGCTAGCGATTGCAGGGGTTGTTGAGCACGGCGTTTGCACTTGTGATCTGGTGCGGATGCATTGCCGAGCGCTTTCAGCTAGATGAGTCCACTAAAACTAGTGTGGTCGGCATCCGATGTTGAAAAATTCAGAGCTATTTATTTCGGGGATTTATTTACCTCTACACCGTGTTTCGAGTACCATACAATGTCAGAATCGAACAAATATGTCATAGCATACGGGAGATGAGAGAAACAAAATAAGGAACGAAACTGTCCCACATACTGTAATCTTTCGAATTTTCTGGGAGCTGCACGGTTCTATCAGGACGTGTTGATTAGGATTGACTGCTGTACGCTGAAAACTTTTCTTCGATTAATATTGCCTTGTCACTCCGAATGGTTAAAATGTTTGTGGACGGAATAGAAAAGACAGCCTTTTGTGTCTAGTGCAGTGGATCACCAATACCTCCAGACAGGAACCTATGTATATTAACGATAATAGAAGAAAAAAGAAATTGGTAAATCATAGCAAGATGTTATCCTTAGTCCCTAAGAATAGGTCATGTTTCCTCTCAAAGGACTCCTGGGAAGTCACTTGGACTAGTTCAGTTGGCAGTGAATTCCAGTATTTGACAACTCTTAAAGTTTAGAAGTTGTGTCTGAAGTCCATTCTGCCATATTGTGTCTATAGTTTCTGGATGCTACCCCTTAGGTTTTTATTTGGAACTGGGTTTAAGCAAATGTTTAAGGTGATGTCTAAAATTGTTAAGGATACTGTAAGCCATTAGAAGGTCACCTTTAAGAAGCCTATACTCTAATAGGTAAGGGTTAAGTGATTAGAGGCGCTCCAGAGTGTCCTTATCCTTTTGAAGTGAGGTTGGAACTACTATAATTCCGTACTCTAAATGGGAACGAACGAAACTGTTGAAGATTATGTGAAAGGTTCTCGTGTCAAACTGGTCCAAAATGCGCTTCAATGTTACCAGTACAAGGTTTGTTCGAAAGGCATTTCTTTCTTAATTAGCGTAGGACTTTAAATCATAGGGATACTACTAGAGAGGAGTTTCTTAAGTTGTAACTGTAGTCTGCAACATGTGGCAGATGGACTACTTTACACTTTGAAGTATTAAAAGCAAGTCCGTTATCGTCTGCCCGACTTCGAAGTTGAGTCAGATCCTCCTGAAGTGCCTGTGTATCCTCTTCGTTGCGTATCTCTCTCCAAAGTTTCACATCGTCCGCAAAAAGTAATAATTTCGACGGTACCTGTTGAGGAAGATCATTTATGTAAATCAAGAAGAGAAAAGGTCCTAGTACTGAGCCCTGGAGAACCCCACTAGGACATTCCATAACCCGAGATAAAGTGAAATTAACCTTGACCTTAAAATGTCGATTTTTCAGGTATGAAGTGAGCCAATCGATTAGAAGTGGTTTGATACCCCATCGTTTGAGCTTATTGATAAGAAATGTATGGTTAACCTTATCAAAAGATTTTGAGGAGTCTAGATAGATTATATCAACCTTCTCCTTGCGGTCGAAGATGCTTGCCCATCTGTCCACCTCAGTCAGCAGGTTGGTTATACAAGAGTGACCTTTCCTGAAACCATGCTGTTGGTGTGGGAAGAAATTTAAGGACAGTAAATAATCACATATACCATCGCATATCAGGGACTCCATGATTGTTGAGGGTATAGAGAGAAGAGTCACCGGTCGGTAACTTGAAGGTTCGCTGCGTCGACCTTCTTCAAAAATTGGTGTGATGTGAGCCAGATTCCAAATTTCCGGTAGTTTGCCTCTGCTTAGCGAGTGTGAAGACATCACGCTAAGCGGTGTTGCCACGATTGAGTCTGTTTCCCTCAGTACAGCAGAATGAACTTTATAGTTAATTCTGAAGAGCGGTGTAGTGGGAAGGTCGGCAGAGATGGGGTTACCTTCTAAGTATTTGGTTATCGGACAGTTGATGCTGGTGTTGTACGAAAACTTGTCTTGTTAATAGTATCGCACTCTGACTCTCGATGCGGAACCTAGTGAGTCACTACAAAGATTACGCCAAACGGCTAGGGTGATGACTTATGATGTACAGGAGGGTGTGCGCTCTACCTCAAAGGTGGTTCGGATCAACACTCTTGCTGGCTTACGTCGACTGGTAGAAGGTCCGTTTAAAATGAATGTTCTTAGGTTACATATCCGATAATGAAGGCAAATGATTTTTGAATTCTCTTGAAAGTCGGAGGGTCTTACCGTAGGTTATTACAACTTCAGTGTAAATAGCATCGTCTTTCACTGCGACACGGATTTCGGTTGAGAAATATGAAGGCGAAACCATTAGAAACATCCCCGAAATTGTAGTGGCTGACCAATAAGTGAGAAAGATTATGCGATATCCGACAAGCTATTAAGACGTGGAGAAACTTTGCAGGTTGAAAGCTTCTATAAAAATCCAGAATAGGAGAAGTGTTACCAACGGATCGGTTATTATAACTTTCAAAATTAATCCATTATGAAGTTTAGGTTAGATAACAAAGAAAATTCCTAAGTTTATGCTACTGACTATATCATTCAGCCAAACACAGAGAAGAACGTCGTACACTTATATATCGGTTTAAGATGTCACATCCTCTTAGTAAGGGGAGGTGAACTAGTTGAGCCCTATCCTAAAACAGTTGAGAAGGTAATAATAGTAGTGTAAGTAGAAGAAATTAGTCATAGAAGATATTATTGGCAGAAGAAACATGAGTTAGTGCAATGAAAAATATTGTAAGGTGATTTAAAAACTTAGGTTTAAGTTAAGACAATAGGTAAATTTGTAGAATTATGGTCAACTTCGTTATTAGTACCGTTATAATTACAGACCTAACCCTAAAACTGTAGATATATCATGATATGACAGCCTAATCTATGAGATATTAAAAGAGGGTCACATTATTGTGTACACCGACGCATCGTATCGTAACAATTAACAATATGATACTCAGTACTTCTGAAGAACACATTTAGGATGAAGATAGGATAATATTTTTAATGTGAATAAAGACAAGCTATATGGAATGACCACGTCTGCAAGGCTGATCCATGCCATCCGACTGAAATGAATATTCCTGAATTCACTACTGCTGGCCTTTTCTCCGTGTCAAATGGTGAATATCTATTTTCCCAGATATCTCATATTCAGCTTTGAGGATTGTGTAATTAGTACCAATACACTACACATCCACCTATGCTATTGCAAACAATAGTGAGCCATCACGTCTTTAGCGACTTGTTATATCGCTTGCCCTGACTATCAGGCAACATGCATCCACGACTTTAACAGTCTTCTTGTTTAGCCACTTTGAATATATTAGCGACAGCCACCAAGATTTTAGTGCAATCTCTCCTCTTTTAGTAAGTGAACTCTTAGTACATTCTTTTGTGACTATATTTTGGTATTTCTCAGTCTAATATTGACTAGACCTTTGTCACTTGTCTTTAATTAAGATTTGCCATTAATAGCTTGTTTGCTATTTTATTATGATTGGTCGTAAACAGTAAGATTGTAGTGGCTTTTGGCCCTAACCACACAATCCACAACGCTGGGAAAATAGATATTTAACTTTTAACGCGGAGACAAATCCAACGACGGAGAAGGCGGTTAGAAGGAATTCAGTTAGTTCGAATTGATCGGATGGCATGGCTAAGCCTTACAGGCGTGGTCTTACTTGTGTAACATTATTTTTATCCATGGTAAATATATGGTTCTATCTCCAGTCTAAATGTGTACATCATGTATTGATGATTGTTACATTACGATGAATCAGGGTAGACAATGATATGACTTCAACGTAAGATCTTATAGATTAGGCAGTTACATCATAACAAATCTACAATTTTAGGATTAGTTCTGTTATTAGAGTAGTACAAATACTGAAGTAGACCATGTTTATGAAAGATCTCATCTGGCTACACTTATGGTTACACCGTCGTCAATCAACTTGTTGTTTTTTAAATGCCTTTTGATGAGTTTATCATTGGGCTCTATTTTCACAGACAGAATTCTGA